GGCAGTGAATCTTGCCTTGGGTATGTTTCAAAGAACTAAAGGAATGAATATGTAGCAGTGAATTTGGCCTGGAATTTTGAGCCATTTCTGTAGGCAACTGACAGATATATCATGATCATGCAGACAGCCCAGAACTGTCTGTGAGTGAGACAGAGGGACATTCCTCACACCTCCGTCCCTGAGGGACACCACAGGAAGCTTGACTGTACTCACATCAAGGTGGCTTTGCCCTACTTCACATTGCAGCCTTCCAATCTTAATCAAATAGCTTAAAAATGCTGGCTGCTTATTAATGCATTTTAATAATATTTTCAATATTTCTAATTGTGTATTTATAGGAAGTGCATATTAATCGTATTTGAGCTGCATGAGTGGTTAATTCATCCATTTCAGCACATCATTAGGATAAAACCCATGCTTTGCAGTATCTTACCATAGGCTATATTGAACAAAGACTCCGGTCTGCAGGATATACAGTAGATGGTGTTCAGGAATTACTACCTAAATTCAACAATAAGCTATTTTTGGCATACATTTTGCATATTTGTTCTGGGAAAACTTCTGTACCTCTGGATGAATATCCATGATGTGGCCAGACAATTGTGAAATTCTTTAGTGAAATCATTTGATGCCATTAGATGGCCCCTGTTGCAGTGATTCATTTACATGTATGCATTTGGCAGACACTTTTATCCAAAGCAACATGTTTCATTAAAGGGATACATTTTTTAATATTAGTTCATGCATTCCCTGGGAATCGAATCCATTACCTTGGCTTTGTTAGTGCCATCCCTAGCAACAAAAAAAATATTTTATTTTATGTTTAACGAATGTAGATTTTTTTAAATCTAAATTTATGTGCCATAAGAGTAAGATTTTGTAACAGGAGTGTTTGAAGAGAAAGGGAAGAAAAACTTCTGCCTAACGTGTTAGCTGAAACAGAGTGCTTTTAAAGCTCATCAGTCTATTCCTGTCAACTGGAACTGAACCAATCTTACTGCAACTCTCTTGTTCTTGACCTCAAGCTGAGTAGAGTAGAAAACGCCAGTGGTTGTGGGCACAACTTTTTCAACCAGGCTCTTTGGGTTTATGATTTTCCAACTGACAATTAGCACTATTCCTAACATGGGTTTTCCTGTCAGAACTTCATATGATCTTGAAGTGTTTCAGCAGACATACATGGCATACATGGGGCATACATACAAAACATTTTTGTATGTATGCCCCCCCCCCCCTTTTTATTGTGATGTAAAACTAAAATAAATTTGAATATAGAATTGTAACGAGATTGAGACTTAAACGAGATTGTGACTTTCACATTAAAGGGTCATGAAAACCGAAACCAAATTTACTGAGATTTTAAGCGGTAAACTGATCATTTTCAAAAGCATTTAGTGTCTTAAACCACTATATATTTTATAATGACATTATAATTAATTATACATGTAGCCTACATTAATATGTTTTAAATAGAATTACGATTACTGTAGGCTAATATATGTAGCAGGGCATTCAGTTACTTTTGAAAGGACAATAATAAAGTGTCAGTGTATTTCAGTGTAGACTTTAACTTTGCCATATATATATATATATATATATATATATATATAAGATCTAGCATTTCCTCACGTTTTACCACTCCTTTTTAGTGACAGGCGATGGCAGTGATGGCCATACCACACTCACTCCCCTCCGTTCCTCTCACAGCTATCCGCGCCAATTTAAGTTGCATTCAAAACGATTTTGAGGTACACTTGAGCTAAAAGAGGGGGGTTTCATGACCCTTTAAAGTTATCTAAAGAAATATACATTTTGCATTTCTTTTTTGTAATTTATTGGTGGTGGTGGCGGATGGGGTTGTTGAAATATAACCATTGACAAGTTTCATGAGATTCATGCAACAAGAAACAACAATTCGTATAATGGGTTTTACTGTAAGGATATTGTCATGCATACCTATAGTAGGGCAGACAGGATTTTGAGCGGAGGAGGGGTATCCTGACCATCTGTTTAGAGATATGACCTACTGGCACTCTCACACAACTCTCCACTCTCTCTCTCTGCCATCCTCCCCCTCTTTAATCCGATGTTTGTGTCCATCAGGCACCACAAAAAATCCCAGCCACAAAGTCTAACTGAATCATATGTCAATGGTAGATAGTCTCAGCTGGTGTATGTGATGCATCAGAGGGTGTTTTGCTAGTGGGGAAGAGGTGCAGGTGGAATTTAAGCACAGATGGGAGTAAAGCACAATTTTTCTCTCAGGGGTTGTGTTTAATGTGGGATGGGCTGCTGTCAGTGGGATGCTTGTGGCAGGACATGAGTGGGTGAAATTGAGGGATGAGGATTTAGGATGGTGGTGGTTGTCTGGGGAATAAAGACTGTCTGGTATTATTTTTGTTTTATTACATAACAGGAAACAACGTTTTACTTCCGTAATGTGATTTATTTCTGAATAAAAAAAGTAGGGTAAGACTTGATTTTATTCACTGGGATATTTATTGGATTCTGAAAATAGTCTTTATATGATAGGTGGATGAAAAATGGGTTTGGTGTTGTCAGCCGATCAGGAAACTAATTTCAAAATAGCACTAACAAACATGGTGCAGATTATTGTTTAATACATTTAGGTTTGAATGAAATGCATATATATATATATATATATATATATATAGGCTATATATATATATATATATATATATATATATATATATAATCTCTTTAAAATTTTCTTTGATTTTGATTTTTTTCACTGAACTTCTTGAAAGGCATTGTGGTGTTGAAATAAAGACTGCATAATTATTCTGCTTACATTATAAAACAGTTGGGGATGTGTCTATGAGACCTCAAAGCACTGTTTTAAAATCAGCCCATTTTAAAAGTTTTAAAACCAGATCCATTTTTGTTTCTTTGGAATAACATCCATCCATTTTCTAAATCACATCTCTTTTGTAATAACAGGTATGGATGAATAATACATAATAAGACCAGGAACATGTAAAAAAAAGGGTCAGCTGAAATCTTTCTTTTGAAGATTTCTTTTCTTCAATATGCAAAACTACAGCACCTTGATCCACAATCTATCTGTATTACAATATAAATCACTAAATGACCATTGTAACAGATGGTATATACTTTTGGAAATCCTGAAGTGAATGACATGCAAGCATTGTGAAGTGGATGCATAGGAACCTGTGATGACAATGATTGGACAACATCATTTGAGCTTTCAAATTAAACTAAAGGAAAGTGTGAAAAAGTGCACTTGTGAGAACTAAGAACAAGTAGGAATTTGGTGTAACATCGCATCTGATTTGACTGCCACCATATAATTATAAAACACATATTCTAAATGACTGGTAACTGTAAACAGCCTGCAGAATGGCTAATAAACTGTATTACATGGCAGAATATTTTTTTTTTATCCAATTATTATTACTATTTCACACTTTACTCTTGCTAGCAGACTGAAACAGATTTCTTATTGTCATTTGCTAAAATAAAATTCAATACATTTTAAATATTATGAAAATTGTTTCAGCGATGTCTTCTTTAAAATTTAATTTAGTCTAGTTATAGTTTTGTATCAATTGCGATGTGATTTTCAGCTTCAACAGCACATTTCTTCGCTTGGGCAAACAATTTGTGGCGGACAGCTTTCCTTGCACATGAAATCCCACGTATTCCAGCAAACGAATGAGAATGCAGAACAATATTGATGCCTAACAACAGAGTGTAGGCACAAAAGCTGTTGTGGATCTGAGTTGTTTGTTCAATCAAAGTTGTTTGGCAAAATGATGGACAGTTACATATGCATTACCAACATTTTATTATGTAAGCTTTATGTTACACCTCAAATAACAAGGGAATTTATTGTCATTAATAGTGTTAATATTAATTAGCAAATACATGAACTCATTCTCTCAAATGGCTTAGAGCATTCACAGCCTATATGGACTGTCTCCCTCGGTTACAACCACTTTGGGTGGGAAAATAACAATCTTGCTCCCCTTAAAATAGGGCAGTAGGAAGCAGAATGAGACTCTGAAAACAGCATTTCGGCGATGTGCATGTGTGTTCAGGCCAGGTTAAGTTGGCGCAGGCTGCACCCACGTTAAAAAGATTATATAAAACTAACAGTGAAGCCTCAAGAGCTGATGTGAAGTGGGCACACCTGCTCTGCCCACACAGCTTTGCTTTCAGAGTCATTTCAATTCCACTGTCGGTGCATGCGTAGATAAAATTATGTTAACAATCAAAGGGCATGCCACACGAGTTCTTTTGGTAAACAGCAATAGACCTGTATTTGCATCCGATCAGTGCATGGGCTCGAAAATAAATTACCTTCCAGAAAACTAAAGAGAGCTTTTGTGAATTTGCAAATTCTTGTTTATAATATTTGGAACCTAAGACAGTCTGATGTTGCTGAGAAACAGAGAAAAATATGGATCCATTAATACTTATGGCTAAAAAAGGTGGCTGTTGCTGATTTATACTCCTTATATGCCCACAAACATATTGTTAACTTGGAGAGAGCTTCTCTGATTTGAACAAACCCATGAGGGCCCGTTCACACCATAATAACGATAAAGATAGAGTTTTAAAAATTATTCTAAATCTAAAAGAATAGCAGAGTCCACACTGCAACTACTGTATATTGATAAAAGCACAGAAATTATATTTTTAAAATTAATTATTCCAACTGATGAACGCTAAAAACATTGACAACCAATTAGAACTCATACTGCTTTAAAGAGCTTGAGCATTTAAAGTGGCAGGCGACAACTGCAGCGCATGCTTATAATAAAGAGAACAATATTGTGCATTGGTGTGGACTCTAATATAGTTATCTTAATAGTTATCATTATTTCTGTGAACAGGCCACTAAGTATTTAGTCCACTCACAAATTCTGCAGCTTGCATAGGTGTGCTAATACTGTTCGTAATGATGCGATACTGCAACAAAATGAGTGGTCATTAATGTATGTTCGAATTTTTAGGTGTTCACAACCTATTCTAATGAGGACTATGACAGGAGGAATGATGATGTGGACCCCATGGCTGCTTCTGCGGAGTATGAGCTGGAGAAACGTGTGGAAAGGCTGGACCTGTTCCCCGTTGAACTGGAGAAAGGTAATGAAAGGGCTTGTAAGGCCATTTAAGATCTTATCTGGGATTTTAAATACAAATTTACTGATATGTTGCATTCCAATTGAAATAAAAAAGCAATGACATTTGTGTAGCGTGTTCCAAATGCACATATGAGACAGTAATACTTGGACCTTTCTGACTATTCAAAGTGATTTGCCCCTTGGAGAGAGTAGGGCATAGTGCAGGTCATTTTTACATGGAATTCACCTTTTAAAGTCATAAAACAGTGGTGACATTATGTTACAAAAAATAGTGAATATGAAGAGTTCAGATGCAAAAGCCTCTAAATGCCATTTGAAATTTTCTTCTTTAATGATGATTTTTATCAAACTTGTATATTTAAGTTCAGTAATTTCACTTAAATAACAATTAATAGGTAATTTTCATTGTCATTTAAGTGAAATTACTGCACTTAAATATACAAGTTTGATAAAAATCATCATTAAAGAAGAACATTTCAAATGGCATTTAGAGGCTTTTGCATCTGAACTCTTCATATGTTGAATTTAAAAGTATTAAAAGAACTAAATGAGTATACCTCTGGGCACAAAATGTTTCAATGGAAAATTGGGTTTTTAAAATTGTATGCATGCATGGTGTTGTAGTAATACACTGTAAAAAATATTGTTGATTTAACTTAAAAAAGTAAGTAACTTGGTTGCCTTAAAATTTTAAGTTGATTGAACTGGAAAAAGTGAGTTTATACAATGAAGGAGATTAATTTAATCATCAGAAACTCAAAATAATAAGTTATCTCAACTAAATAAATTATTTAAGTTGATTTGACAAAAGAAAAAATGTTGTGATAACAAATCTTGAAAATATATTTTTTACAGTGTAATAATAAAGGTTTAATAAAATCATTAAGACACTCAAAGCCATGCTATATTGTTAATTATAATCACTTTACTGGACTTTGTGATTAACAACACCCACAATATAGCATATAAAAAAGTGTGTTAAGGAGAAAATGAAAGATTAGGAGTGTAGCCAAAAAAATAACACTCAACAGAGAGAATATCAAAGAGGAAATGAAGGTGTGTTTCACAATACTTCTACTATTCTGAACCATTTTGTACAAGTAGTGTGCTCACTCTAAAAAAATTAGATCACAATGTAGTATACTAGGAGTACTCAGATGATGTACTTGGAAAAAAAGAAGAAGTGAGGACTGTTTTATTCCAAATCTACCCTTAGAAAAAAGCATACACTAGATGGTTGAGTACATACAGTAGTGTATTGTGTAAGCATATAGTAAACAGTACACAAGCACACTTCATAAAGTCTTTCACAAAAACTAGTTTGTTTGGTTTGAGATGGTAAATCACCGATAAACTGTTTTAAAGACTATTCTCAAATTTGAGTGGAACTGTATTGAACTGCAAGTTTACTGTGTAAACTCTTTTCTATTTTATTCTTATAGCGTGTGTTGTCCTACTGTTGGTCCTACTGTCGCTTTGGATAAAAGCGTCTGCTAAATGAAAAAAATGTAATGTAAATGTAAACTTAAGAGGAGCTGACTTACAAACATAAACTAAAATTGATTGCAAAACAAGTTGCTTAAATAGTCACACAAAAATTTGCTCATTTGGTTTGATATTTTGTTATTGAATGCAATTTTATTTAGTTTTATTTATAGTTTGTACATTTAAGTGCGACTTAAATGTACAAACACATTTTGAGGCCATTGTACTCTATATTTTAAAGATTGAATTCTCTATTTTGTGTTGTCCGTTAACAGACAATGAGGGTTTGGGTATCAGTATTATTGGTATGGGTGCTGGAGCTGACATGGGATTGGAGAAGCTTGGCATATTCGTCAAGACCGTCACAGAGGGAGGCGCAGCTCATCGGGATGGCAGGTAGATGTTATGCATATTCCACAGCATCATAGTTATTTCTTACTGAAACTCATTCCATAATGGTCACATTGCACACTTTCATCTCTTTCAGGATACAGGTGAATGATTTAATAGTGGAGGTGGATGGAACAAGCCTGGTTGGTGTAACTCAAAGTTTTGCGGCCTCTGTCCTGAGAAACACATCTGGCACAGTTCGGTAAGACCAGCTGGATATAGTCCATTGCGATAGACATTTCACCTTCCTGCTGATTTAGTTTCATTTAATTTAAAGTCGGCATGAAATCAAATTTGACAAATCATCTCTTTATATGAAGAGTTCAGATGCAAAAGCCTCTAAATGCCATTTGAAATTTTCTTCTAAAATGACCATTTTTATCAAGCTTGTATATTTAAGTTCAGTAATTTCACTTAAATGACAATTAATAGGTAATCTTCATTGCCATTTAAGTGAAATTACTGAACTTAAATATACAAGCTTGATAAAAATGATCATTTTAGAAGAAAATTTCAAATGGCACTTAGAGGCTTTTGCATCTGAACTCTTCATATGTAATTCTGTAGTGTTTATTATAAATGTTTTATCTGTGCACTTCATTATTTTTTTAAATTAATGTACCCTTATAATCTTTAATCAAAGATATTACCCTTCCCTCTCCCATCGAAACGACCTCTCTTGTATTTCGGTCACATGGAATGGCGAAAGGGTGCGGACAGATCCGATGAGGGTGTGGCTATCGGTGCACCGCCTCTCAGAGAATCGCATTCAAATCTGCCTCCATTTTGTTTGCAACGCCCAACCTCCAACGATCCAATCAATTCCCGAAGGACGAAATCAACAGCCCTACATTTTTTTCTAATTTAAAAAGCCGTTTCACTCGGATATACGTCACAACAACAAGGAAAAAATGACAATCTGAACTTCCGTTTCACGCCGACTTTAAGACCCATTTTTTTCATTTTCTCACCCTTATTTACCATGTCATCTAGTCTACAGTCACCACTGTATTTTAATGCATTAAACACTGAATATCACCCATTGCAGTAGGCACACATGTTGAATTAATCATAGCTTAAATTAATGTGGGAAGGATTTGTATTTATGAGTCGAGCAAACATGAACACCACTATGATGTTGTAATTATCAGTATGAAAGCCTGGAAATTTGGATGGTTGATAAAAAATCATGGTATTGGGATTGGTAATTGGTATTGGTCATGATTAAGTTTAAACTGTGAACACAAAACAGTGCCTGGTGTCTAGAGAACGCAAACCCTGAAATAGATTCCAAGGTAAAAGCCTTTGAAAATTTCAGAAAAAAGTTTTTTTTTGAAAACAAAAATGCAGACGGCGTGCACATGTGCATTGTTGTAAACTTATTTCTTCTCAAGTGTACTAGAGACACAACAGACCAGGAGATGGTGGAAGTTTATCAAGCAGAAGTTCTTTATTGCTGGTCGCTGTAGTTTCTTCCAACATCGTCTAACAAACTAAAATACAGAACTATTCTTATCCACAAGTTTCCTACGTCCCATGAGGCCTTGCATCAAAAGTGGGCGCGACTTCCGGTTGGAAGTAAACAAAGCGCGATTTGACATGCTTGACACTCGTTCATTCAACAGTTGACAGTCATTCAAGTTAAAGCGATCCAAACTAGCTAACGATGTGGGAACACAACCTCAATGAAATTCAAAAGGGTGAAATAACAGTACCTTTACCCTCCGCAGTAGTTGATTGGGAGTATTATAATAACATTATTAATAATCAATACTCATCAAGGCATGGTGACAGACAGTTGTGCGAGCTGACAAACAATTAAAATAAAAAATACACACTTAGTCATTGTGCTTTGGAGTTTATTCAAAATTATAAATGAATGTGCTGCTTGAATACATTAACTGGCACATTTGGTATTCTGTCAACACAGGCTTTGATCCTGAGTTTAGCTGTAACATCAGTAGTGAACAGCCAAACACATGCTGATAGAGTTTATAGAATATTAAGAATTTAAACAAATGTACACAGGAAGATTCGTCGTCTTTTGGGAGGTGATGGAAACTACAGTCGTTGGCAGGATCACTCTGATTTCGTTTTCAGCTGATGTTCAAAACAATCCCGTTTAAGCCACTAAATTAGTTTAGTCCGGCTATACATACAACCGCGAACAGCACATGTTGTCCCTGAGCTCCGTGACGACATCTCTCATAAAGATTTGCATCTTTAAATAGTAAAATAATTCTCCGAAAAACAGCTAGCCTCTTCACTAACTAACACACAAAATACCATTGGAATGCTACTTCCGCCGCGTCACCGGAAGTTTCACCCACTTTATTTTTTACAGGAGCGCCCCTCGGAAACTTGTGGATACATTTCGAAAGGGGGTGGGTTGCATAGGGGTGGAGACACTGAAACAAATCATATAGAAATTGTAATACCACAGCATCACATGTTTAGTCTATAGGTATGCGTTTGAATATATATATGTGCTCAGGTGCGTAGTCTTTCTTTGTTCATGTGGCACCTCGAGAATTTTAACATTTACTGGTAATATATAAAGAATATATTAAGCATCACTTACTTTTCTTACATGGATCCTTTGCTATTCATTTAGTCACATTGGTACTAAAACAGCTTCATGTGTGAGAAATATTATATTGCCTCATTTATACTTCATTCCCTAATCGAAATCACTTGGACAAATCACATCATAATTAAATCTTCCGAAATCATTAGTAGGAACGTCCCAGACAGTTTTGAAAGCAGCAATAAATACAAAGTAATTATAGTTTGTACATTTGACTTCATGACAGCTTGCTTTTAATCGTATTAATTCTTTATTTTTATGCATTGTGTGAATTTAGGGCAGGTTGCACACTGTCATTAGACTTGTATAATATTTTACAATTGCCTACAATTGTCTCTTTGTTATGGGAACACTGTACCGATTTCTTTCTCAATAACATGGTGAAATTAATCGTTTTGATCTTTACTAATTTTTGCTCTTTTCCTTAGTTCATTCAGCATTCAGCCAATGGGGGTCATTGTGACAGTTGCAATTATGATGTGTTACAAGGCTTGTATTTAGAAGAGAAGAATAGTACATTTCATTATGATTGATAAGTGTTAACAGGGGGAGGCCAGAACAAGGAGAGGGTTATATTAAACTAGACACAGGGGGGAAGGGACACACACAATGTAGGCAAAAAGGAGGAAATTAAGGATGGATACATTTAAATGAGGGCAGACAGAGCTGCAAAGAAGCATCTATAAGTGCTTCATCAGACGTAAACAACAGTAAATATTGTTGCCATCAAACCATTATATATCACTATAAATATGATATTTTCACATGTTCTTAAGATCTCTTTTGAATGGCACAATTAAAAAAGAACATTTAATTAAAATTGTGTGTAATGTCCGTCAGATCTTGTGCTGTACCTAGCTGTATTGTCACCTGCCATTCTTTATATCCTTTAAAAAATTTTAAAAAACAGCATTAGAAATGAGCGGCTGCAGTTTTCAGTGACACATTTCAGTGCAGATTGTCTTTATGTAATGCTAGGCTGTTGAATTACAGATGGTTACTGATTCTGGTGAATGCAAAAGGGCATTTAGACTGTAATCTTAAAGGCACAGCAACAAAAAGTAGGCCTATTAATTCTAAAGGTTATTACACTGTAAGTGGACCTCAGGAGAAAGTAAAATGATTAAAAAAGTATGAGAATGTATATGATGACCCCTTTAAAGGAAAAAAGACATTAGAAGTAGAGAGAAAAAGAGCACCTTCCTCTCATAGGCCGTGTGTCCACCAAAGCGTTTTTCCACGCGCCTGGCGTATGTTTTCAATTGTTTTCAATGGGAGCGCCGCGTTTTTTAAACGCCATGAGCGTACCGAGGCGCTGAGCGTTTTTTTCACGCTGAAGCGGCGAGCGCCCGGCGTTTTTACTGGTCGCTGGGAGTTGAAAAATGTTCAACTTTGGATAAAACGCAGCGCTCATCACTGTCACTTTTTACCCAGCCGTCCAATCACAGAGGAGGAGGGGCGGGACTAATACCACACCAACCAACTGTCACAACATTCAACTGCTGCGGATATTCTGTATCATAGCAACGAAATGTCTCAACGGAAAAACCGCTGCGCTGCCAAAACGCTCTCAAGCGCCCAAAGCACGGCGTCCTCAGCAGAGCGTCTAGCGTTTTCAGCTGGCTAAAAACACTTTGGTGGACACACGGCCATAGCCTAGTATACGGAAGCACTAACAGATAAAGATAAACACTTTAAATTACCACAAGGTGCCTAATAAACACCTCTGTTCCTAGGTTTATTATTGGGAGAGAGAAGCCGGGAGAGCAAAGTGAAGTTGCCCAGCTCATCCAGCAGACCCTTGAACAGGAGCGCTGGCAACAGGAGATGATGGAGCAACGATATGGCAACTACATGGGTGATGAGGAAGAGGTACTGTGTACTTGCTTTCATTTGAACAATGTGTGATATGTGAGCCGAGAAAATTAGTATTGGATTTTTCGAACAGTTTGTAATCAGGTACTTGTTCATATCTTTACTACTTATAGTAAAATAATTGATAACCAGCTGCTGAAGCACTCTTGGACAGTTAAGTTTAGTTCAAATACTTTAGGGTTTGTGTGAAATGTTTGACTATATGTCAGAGTAGCAGTATACCAGATTAATCAATGTTTTTATCATCATCGGCTACCCATCAGATCTTTCCCGGCTAAGGGGGGTCAGACGTCATCCCCTCAGGCCCTATTACACCTGGTGAACACCTTTTGTCTCCGGCCATGTTCATATGTAAATTGTGAGAGCTTATTTTGTCCGTTGGATCGAAAGATCTGAATAAAACCCCCATACATTTACCTACTCATAGACCCTCCTCTCGAAGAAATCAGGACAGAAGTATGAAGATATATGTGGTGCAAAACTACTGAACGCCTGTGACAGTGAAATTTGTAGTTGTAGAGAATAGCCACACATTTGAAGTCACAAAGAGAAATGTTTTAAGAGTTGCAAACTTGTAGACTTTTTTTAACTTCCACAAACACAACACAACACTTCTTAAATTGTACATTGCAGGTGCACAAATCCTATTCTAAAAAAAAAAAAAAAAATCCTAAACAAATCCTAAATCACAAATTAAGAAACTCGTACACTCACATTTTTGCTACAGTTGCTGCAGTGAATATGGTGCAAAACGCATTTTTTTGCTAAAAATGTTTAGCTCATCTGCAAATCAGTTTGTGAATTCATCCAATGAGAGTTGCACACTTGTAGAATAGTTTCTCACAAATGTCTTGTATATACACAAACACAAGTACATAACTACAGCTGCTTGAATCTGCTGCTACGAATCTCATACACTGTTTTTCGCTTTCAGGAGACAAGTTTCGCCCGCTCTACCTTTTGCACCAAGTGCACCGTGAAATGTGGTGCAAAAGTGAGTTGTGCCAGAGCCCGTCTAACGGAGAGCCTTGGCACTTCCTATTAGCCCCGTTGTGTATCATCTTGGTTGCAGTTCCATTAGAATTCCACTTGAGGTGATCGCGGGCGAGAGCAGAATGAATGGGAGTCTATGGGGCTAAACGGCTAAATGTGTCTCTTTCACCTGCTTGTCGTTAAATCAACATAGATTTTATTGTTGATTCCGCAAGTTCAATATAGATTATAGGCCAAAAGTCGAATGAACGAGTACTTTTGTCCTTTCAATTTCTTACAGGTTAGGCTGTTGTTGGCCGGAACACGCTAGCATTCTGCTATTGTGTGACATCATCACATTTTTGAACGGATTTTTAGAACAGATAAGTGAACTTAAAAATGCAATTTTCAGCTGAGTGTATTATCTTAGCCCTCCCTTTTGAATGCAACTTTCAAATTACTTGACAAAAAATTACATCCTGAGAAAAGTGGATTTATGGGGGTGAAACCCCATTGACTCCCATTCATTCTGCACTCGACCGCGAGCGCCCCCGCATGGACAGAGACGCGTTACTGCAGCCAGTCCAGAACCCGGAAGTAACCAGCCAGTGCCTATTCTCTTCAATTAGACATTCCCTGCGTCCCAATTCGCATACTATCCGTCCTAAATAGTATTCGAAAATAGAATTAGTACGTCCCAAATCGTAGTATGTTGAAATGAGTGTTTCAAAGATACCTGGATGGTCTACTTTTTCCGGCCAGAATCCGAAATGTAGATCGATGCACACGGTTAGAACTACAAACACGAGTAAAAAGTGTTAAAAAACTACAGACACGTAGTCGATACGGAGGACGCGCGAGTCCCCGCGGTTGTGTAGAGAGGTTTAGATAAAGAGCTTCGAGTGATTAATTATCAGTATCTAACCTAACGAAAATGAATTTATTCAATGTTGTCTACATTATATTGCATTTGCAGCAGCACTGTGAACTTTTGTAAAGACACGTTTTAGCCATTACGTTTTAAATGCATCATTATATTCAAATTGCAAACACATGAGGAGAGCATGAAAGACCCACAACTGGCAGATGAACGTGCTCTCCGAAACGGTAGGAAATAAAATTAGATAGAATGGAGGATTTTACCTGTGACAAGAAGATTGACAGAGCAGTTTACGGTGACAGAATGCACGCAGCACGCGACAGAGCTGTCCCTTAAAGATGACGTGATAGTATGTCCCAAAGCTTGCCTACTCTTTTGCTACACACTCAAAAGTATGTACTTTTTCCTCACAAAAAGAGTACATACTTTTAGGGCGTAGTATCCACAAGTTTCCTACGCCCCATGAGGCCTTGCGTCAAAAGTGGGCGCGACTTCCGGTTGGAAGTAAACAAAGCGCGATTTGACACGCTTGACACTCGTTCATTCAACAGTTGACAGTCATTCAAGTTATAGCGATCCAAACTAGTTAACGATGTGGGAACACAACCTCAATGAAATTCAAAAGGGTGAAATAACAGTACCTTTACCCTCCGCAGTAGTTGGCTGGGAGTATTATAATAACATTATTAATAATCAATACTCATAAAGGCATGGTGACAGACAGTTGTGCGAGCTGACAAACAATTAAAATAAAAAATACACACTTAGTCATTGTGCTTTGGAGTTTATTCAAAATTATAAATGAATGTGCTACTTGAATACATTAACTGGCACATTTGGTATTCTGTCAACACAGGCTTTGATCCTGAGTTTAGGTGTAACAGTAGCGAACAGCCAATCACATGCTGATAGAGTTTATAGAACATTAAGAATTTAAACAAATGTACACAGGAAGATTCGTCGTCTTTTGGGAGATGATGGAAACTACAGTCGTTGGCTGGATCACTCTGATTTCGTTTTCAGCTTATGTTCAAAACAATCCCGTTTAAGCCACTAAATTAGTTTAGTCCGGCTATACAACCGCGAACAGCACATGTTGTCCCTGAGCTCCGTAACGACATCTCTCATAAAGATTTGCGTCTTTAAATAGTGAAATAATTCTCCGAAAAACAGCTAGCCTCTTCGCTAACTAACACACAAAATACCATTGGAATGCTACTTCCGCCGCGTCACCGGAAGTTTCACCCACTTTATTTTTTACAGGAGCGCCCCTCGGAAACTTGTGGATAAGTAGGCGAATGGGCTATATGCACGCATAAGTTCCGCATTTGACGTAAGGATGCTCGTCCATTTCCGGTTGTGTAGATTAAAGCGGAGGAAAACCGGAGAAAACGGGATTATGGCAGAGTCTTCAATATTTACTGTCCTCCCGTCTTTGAAACGAAACGTACATACGTTTAGATGTAATTTTATATATAGTTATGTTTATTTAATATAATTTTTAAAAGAAGCATAAACACAACGAGGGGTGTCTGTTTTATCTGTTTTTGTGACTAACGTTTCATTAGTATAACCATGGAGTATAAAATTCAATATAAATTCTCGGTATTGCATTGGACTCTATGATCGGCGGAAGTTATCGAGCATCCTTAATCCTTCACCGGAAATAACGCCGTGCATAGAGCCCATTGGGACGCAGCAATTCTCTGGTCGTGCATCTGTAGAGGCAGTGGGCGGAGCTCACATTAATATTTATGAGTTTCCCGGGCATGCGTGTGGAACTGCTCATTCTAGTTTACGCTCCTCCTTTCTCCGCAGGTTTATTGTATTATTTAAAAAAATGTAAATATAGTTTCAGTGCAAACTTAAACTACAATTGTGTATTGTTTTGTTAATTTCATAATATTTGTATTAATTCGTCACTGACTGAAAGATTGCTTGCATTCACTTCGTGTAGGCCTATAAAGAACAGCAAACTTCAACTCGTCGTATAAATTGCACCTTGCAATGCTTTAACTGTGACTTTTATTAATTGTTATCATTTGTTGATTACAGTAAATTAAATAAACCCTCATAAATGTATCTGTGGGCTAACACTGTTGTGTTGTGTTTGTGGAAGATAAAAAAAGTCTACAAGTGTGCAACTATTAAAACATTTCTCTCTGTGGCTTCAAATTTACTGATACACATGTGTGGCTATTCTCTACAAATTTCACTGTCAGAGGCGTTCAGTTGTTTTGCACCAAATATATCTTCATACAGACGTGGAACTGGACAAAAGAGACAGATTTAAATACCAGGTGTAAACAGGGCCTCAGTGGAATCCATTGGTATGGAATTCCGTGTGCACTTAACAACATTGAAACATCTAATGAGTTATAATCCAACATGGAAAGTAATCCAAATTTTCCATGTTGGATAACTCATTAGATCTTTCAATGCTGTTAAGTGCATACGAAATTTCATATCTACATGGAAACATTTCGTTAAAGTTTCCTCCACATTCATTGACAGTTTACAGTGAGTGATGCATATCTGCCATGTTGTTCTTAAATTTGTATACAATCAGATTGTTCTGGTATTGAACTTCAGCTGTCATCTGTGAAGAAAGGAAGAGTGTTTTATCACGTTTAGTTAGCAGACTTGAAAGTCTTTATCTTTCTTTTGTTTTTTAGGACATTTAAAAAAAAAGTTTAAAACTTGTGACAAAAGGCTATTCCCTTGTCCTTCCCGTCTAGCAGGGTGATTATGGCACTGATGAAGATGAAGAAGACGAGATGAGCCCCACATACCCTAGTGCCATAGAGGTGTTTGACTTGGCTGAAAATGAGGACATGCTGTCACCGGTGGAAGTTGACCCTGAGAAGCTTGCTCACAAATATAAAGAAGTAAGACACAAATTGAGCTGGACAACAAGGGTTTAAAACATACAGAGAAAGTGTACTGACCAGTATCTAATGAAAAATGTACTTGTGTTAAAGTTAAAAACTATCCACATTTAATTATTCTGTGTAAAAATGATTGATTTCTCAGCTTTAAAAAAGACGGACGACGTCAAAAGACGGAGGAGATTTTCTCTTCGTGCCTTATATATATATATATATATATATATATACTGTATGAAAGTAAATATATTTAGGAAATATATATATATATATATGAAGAGTTCAGATGCAAAAGCCTCTAAGTGCCATTTGAAATTTTCTTCTAGAATGATCATTTTTATCAAGCTTGTATATTTAAGTTCAGTGATTTCACTTAAATGGCAATGATAAATACCTATTAATTGTTGTTTAAGTGAAATTACTGAACTTAAATATACAAGTTTGACAAAAATCATCATTAAAGAAGAAAATTTCAAATGGCATTTAGAGGCTTTTGCATCTGAACTCTTCATATATATATATATATATATATATATATATTGAATGTACATACAAGCTACAATATAGATTGTTTCACAGCAGCTTCACAATAGTAACAAATTCAAAATCGCCTGGGAAGCAGGTTGGTCAACAAGCAAATAATCTCAATATTCAGCTCAAGTCACTTCAGTGTTGATTCAGTTCAGTTCAGTTCATTAACTGTAACATTCATCAACTGTGCATACAAACAGTGTGCATCAATGTACGTGTGACAAACTCCTGTAAGTAAAAGACATGAGATAGTAGTGTTTTACATTTTTCACACCCGTCTGTAGTTTGGCAGTAATGTAATGTGGCTGCAAAAACAACATTTTTGAATGAATGAATTTGAATGTGAATGATGCGTTGGCTTTTGCCAGAGATGTCTGATGTTTTGCATGTTGTGTGCGTTTTTTGTGGATTTGTATGTAGATTTTCAAGACATTGAACCATAGTTTCAGAAATTGTGAACTGTAAATGAGTTTTGTCATTGCAAAAGAGCAGAATAAGTTGCATTCTTTAATATGTTTACTACTTTGACACAGCTGCAGATCAAACATGCTGTGACTCAGGCTGAAATCCAACAGCTCAAGAGGAAGGTATGATAACCCTTTTCATGCTAACTGGTCATCATATGTCTAATCGAATTCTGTGTTTTCTTAGGACAAAGAGAAAGCTCACCCAAAAATGAAAACTGTCATTATTTACTTGTCTTTCCAAACCTTCCTATAATTTATGGCATTGTTGACATCAAACCTGATGCAACACGCCTTGAGGCGCCAAGTTTGAATGTGCGAATATATATATGTTTTAATGAGACTTAGAGCTTGGTGGAAGGGAAGATTATCAGTGTATTATGGCTTACTTTCTTTGTAAACTTCTTGGTTTGTGTTCTACAAAAGTAATAATGCTTTGAGGGTGAGTAAATGATGGATTTTTATGCCTTTTAGATGTTTCAAAAGAACACATATGGAAGTTTTTCTTCTGACAAAGCGTTCCGGTTTTCCACATTTGTAAAGTTTTGATCTATGTTACTTTTTGCATGATAAGTTTAAGAAAGTAATCATCTGTTTGTGTGTTAAGCTGACTCATGCAGACCAGGAGAAGCAGCGCTGGCGTGCTGAAAAAGTCCAGATGGAACATAACATGCAGGAGAATCGGGAGCGCATGGAGAAGCTGGAGGGATATTGGATGGAGGCGCAGAGTCTGTGCCAGGCTGTGGATGAGCACCTGAAAGAAACACAGGCACAATACCAGGCTCTAGAGCGCAAATACAGCAAGGCCAAACGCCTTATAAAAGAGTATCAGCAAAAGTGAGAGAAAACACACAGATACTAATCCAAATCCACAATCTTAAAGGGTTAGTTCATCCAAAAATGAAAGTTAAGTCATTAATTACTCACCCCCATGCTGTACCAACCCCGTAAGACCTTCTTTCATCTTCGGAACACAAATAAAGATATTTTTGATTGAATCTGAGAGCTGGATCAGTCCTACATAGAATGCCTAAGGAACTGGCTCTTGACGGCCCATAAAGTCATTAAAGAAAAGGTTTAAATATTCCATGTGCCTACAGCGGCTCAACTATAAGTTTATCAAGCGACGAGACTACTTTTTGTGCGAAAAAAAAAACATAAATAACGACTCAATTCGACTATTCTATTACTTCCTTATGGGCGCATGCGCGAGAACTGAGACGAGGACGTTCTTCTCCTTCGACTACTTTTTGTTACCGGCTGCTCCGCTTAGGAGTTTTACCGCCCCCTACCGTATAAGATGATGATCCATATATAAGGCGCTCCGGATTATAAGGAACACTGTCGTTTTTTGAGAAGATTAAAGGCTTTTAAGTGCACCTTATAGTGCGGAAAATACGCTAATTGAAAAGCGTATGTACAGCGCGCATCTTCCTCTGCTTGTAAACAGAAAGTTTTGCGCTTCCAGCTATATCAGCACATCATCTTATACGGTAGGGGGCGGTAAAACTCCTAAGCGGTGAGCAGCCGGTAACAAAAAGTAGTTGAAGGAGTAGAACGTCCTCATCTCAGTTCTCGCGCTTGCGCCCATAAGGAAGTAATAGAATAGTCGAATTAAGTCGTTATTTATGTTTTTTTCGCACAAAAAGTAGTCTCGTCACTTGATAAACTTATAATTGAGCCGCTGTAGTCACATGGAATATTTAAACCTTTTCTTTAATGACTTTATGGGCCGTCAAGAGCCAGTCCCTTAGGCAGTCTATGTAGGACTGATCCAGCTCTCAGATTCAATCAAAAATATCTTTATTTGTGTTCCGAAGATGAACGAAGGTCTTACGGGGTTGGTACAGCATGGGGGTGAGTAATTAATGACTTAATTTTCATTTTTGGGTGAACTAACCCTTTAATAAAGGTCTGATTTAGTTTTAACCCTGAGTTTTTTTAAAGCTTAATATAAAGTAAGTTCTCATATTCACCTGCTATTTGTTATTAATTGTAATGTAATGTTCATTTTATGTACAATAAATACATTTAAATATACTGTACATTCAGTAAACATTATAAAGCAGCATTCTAGAAGACATGTACTAAACACACTAAAAACTATTTGTATAAACAGTAAGAAGGTCCATGATGTGAAACTCATTTTTATTTGGATTAATTAATTTATTCAAAATGAAATGAGTTAGTTACACGTCTACTACGGTAACAAAAACTGAACGAATGGAAGCAAAAGTTTAATCAAAAGATTGTTATAATCTATTTAAAAAAATAAATAAAAAAAAATCCTATTTGTTAAAGAAAAAAAAAACTTTTACCAAAAATGTTCACATCACATGCATCAGAGATACAAGGACATTTCATTATTAAATGAAAATTTACAACCTTACTATAAACTATATGCAATAAAATGCTATGAACTGAATAAAACTGAACTGTGCAAATGTGTTTTAAATGAGATTTTTCGCTTAGTAATCAGCCCAAGATATTATAGATTAATGATCTTTTTCCTTTTTTTTAATTAAACTTCAGGAATCTAATCAACGTCTTTTTCCTTCCATTGTTTCATACAGGGAGATTGAGTTACTGAAGAAGAAAACAGCTCAGCAGAAAACTCTAGAGGAGACTGAAGCTTCACATAAGGAGGAAACAGATCAACTCCAAGACAAGGTAGAGTGATCACAAAAATCCTTTTGCTTACTAATACATCAATGATACAGTTCACAAATATGGCTATTTAGACAATTCAAATGAAGCAGTCATAAGAAATATATCTTTATACAGGTAACAGATCTTGGGTCACAGGTCGAGGAGTTGAAGTCACTGGATCCATCGTAAAAGTTATTAATTGTTTAAATAACTACTTCAGTGTAAATGTACTGGAACTGGGGAAATAGAGAATCTGTACTTTTGCCCATTTAATTATTGTAAGTTTCATTCCTTCATACCTTTATTTCAGGCGTTTTATGCTTTTAGAGATTTTTCTTTATTCATTCTTAGTATTGTGAATAAACGTTTTACCCTGCAGTGTTTGCTCTTTAAAACCCTTTGTATTTTCCTTATATTTAACTCTTGATAATGATTCGGCCGTCATCGATAGTTTTGCCAAAGTTGTTCCTGTAATGATCTCACGTACACAATAAACTCTGTTGTCTTTTTTAAGTTATGTCAACAACATAAATGTGGCAGAACAGAAGACTGAACTTTCATTAACAAAACACTACAGTGGAATATTTTTCCAGTTTCAGTCCTGAAACTAATGAAACAGAGGCACTGATTGGACCAAAAGCGGTGAAAACAACGTCTCGTGTTTGAAGACATCTGTTTCTGAAACTCCAGTAATGACCTGCCACTTGCTGCTGTACCTTAAAAGTCTCATTACTCTTTTTTTTCCTTTTATCCTGAAGTCTTTCTTAGGACTGTCCTTATGAGGCACTGTTACATGGGATAAAAAGTATATATTAGTAGAAAATGGGAAGCACATCATTCATGAATGGACGGAACCTGAGGAACATAGGAAAGACTCAAAATGATAAATGGTCTCTTAAAGAACCAGTCAAGGATGTATTTCAGCTAATATTTTGTGGTCATTAAAAACAATATACTTAGATTAGCCTTATTATATATATATATCCAGATTTAAAGGGATTTCTCTCACTCCAATTGCCTCTATTCTACCTATATCAGTTCACACTATACCTCTTGTGCAAGGTTTTGGTGACTTGAACCTTAAAAACCAACTGCTGCCTTTTTCCTCAGTATTACTCCAGTGTTGTCACTCTCCAGTGTTCATTTTGACCTCCCCTTAAACCTTCTTTACAGAGGCAGAAACAGAAAAAAAGGTGTTTCGCTACTTACTTTGTATCATTTTGATGTACATTTTGATTCACAGTGATGTAAACAATACTGGTCCAGAAGCACTTCCTGTTTCAGTTTTTTAACACTACATAAAAGCTGGGATAAAATACAACCAACAGAACATTTAAAACTGAATCAAAAAGTTAAACGAACATCTTTAAGATGTTTTCTTTACATGTGAAATAAAGAAAACAGTTACAAACTGAAACAGGAAGTGCTTCTGGACCAGAGTTGTTTACATCTTGTGAAATGGTCAATACCAGACACATGTATGATTATGGGACTGGCCTCCACATGTGTATAGTTTTTTTTTTTTTTTTATGAATGTGATTTTAAACACTGTTAAAAGAGATTGACCTGTAGAGGTCACAATAGTTTCATGAAATCTGGATATATGTAAAAAAAAAAAAAAAAAAAAAAAAAGACACTATTTACATACTACTGCCTGGAGTGAACCTGCCTCATGAATTGTTCAATATAATTTAACCTAATACAGAGCACAGCTAGACTAGCTGTTGGACAAACATGTTCTAGATTCGACAGTGAATTTCACATTCTATAGGAAGCAAGACATTTTGTTAACGTAATCATGTGAAGTATTTGAAGGAACCACAAACTATAAATGATTGTGATTGTAGATTTAGTGTCACCATTAGTCTTTACACCGGGACTAAATAAAATCGATGAGGCATGTAAACAACTTTTTTTTTGTTTTTTCAGTGCAATGCTTGTATGAAAAACACTCATATGGTTTGTTAATGTGCTTTTATGAAATAAAGTCAACTGTGGATTTGTAGGTTGCTTTGTTTTCTTTAAGTGTTGCATACTCTTTCATATGCTTAAAATAACTTAATCGCATGGATGTAAAGAAGGAGACCTAATCTGACAGCAGTTTGGCACTGGCTCTCTCTCACATACACACACACATTCAAATTTGCCGCTCCTGTTATCGCTATTGTCCGGGTGCACACGAGACACATAGCATTTGATCATGCAAACTCAAAGTACTCATCATCCTGTTACAATAAGTTCACATCGCATATCCACGCATACATATGTTCAAATGGATTTACCTGTTCAGGATGAGTTGATGTTAGTTGTGAAAGAGACAGATTGAACGTGATCGTTGGTATCGTGGGCTATTTATAGCGCACTGTCGCGTCTCCGCAAAAATGGCGTCACCCGGAACAGAGGGTACTATGTGTCATGTGATGTGGGAAATGTTTTGTGTCCATAGTTAAATTATGTTTTAAAATAAAATTACTTGATGTTGGTATGTATTTTATGGGTATATATATTGATGTTTAATGTTTATTAGTGCAAGTTTATGTAGTACTTAACCACTATGAGACTATTTTGCAGTTCAAACGTGACCATGTGCATTACTAACCTCTAGAGGGAGCAAATTGACACAACGTATTTTTTTTTGTGTGTTGACAAAGATGTCAGATCATTTTCTTAATGTATAATCGTTAATCACAAAAACAAAAACTAAAAAAAACCCTCAGCCCTCAAATGCCTGATACTAGAGGCTTCTCTTCCTCTTAAACCCAAAAATCTTACATTAACATTGTAAATGTAATAGTGTTTGATATGAATGCATCAGTGGTACATAAAATACAGTTCTTACATTTAATTTAATATTTTTTAAAACATACTCTGCATTAGAGAGCTTTTTGTTTCTAAAATATTATGGTCATGGGGATATGTGGAAAGAAAAAAGTCATTCAATTATTTCATTTTATTAATGCATTTGAGGGTTAAATTGTTTCCAAGAAGGCATGACATTTGCATAGCAACAATGTGCATGTCAAGAACTCACACACATCTTCAAGCTGTCTGAAATAGTATCTAACCCCTAAAATAAGTTGGGTTTTTTTGAGAGAGAGATTTTGTAGCAATGACACAGATGGTATGTATAAAGCTTGACACTCAGTCCTGTAAACAAACTAATGATTATGATGGTATCTTTAGCAGCATTTGTCAGGAAATCAGTCAACCCATGTTTTGGAATTTTGTACTATGTTTTTTTTTTTTTTTGTTCAATGATTTCATAATTATTTCATGGTCATTCTAATAAACCAGCTCCTTAGTGTGGTTAAGGTAACTTTTTTCTTCTCTAATTTGTTTGTACACATATGACAATGTTGATTTTAATAAATTTACTAAAGACAATAAACACATTGCATTTTATACAGGATAAAGTATGGCTAAAACACATTTGTAAACAAAGCAAAACTAAAATAAAATGTAAGAGGCTAACTAGACATGATTAAAAAAAATCATAATAACAGTAAAGCATGGTGAAATGCTGTTATCCATGCAAGGTTTTTATTTGATATGGAAATAAATTATACTCTTCATGCACCTAAAATAATCTAAAAGCAAAATATTAACAGAATTTTCTCTTGTGGGTTCTAATTTTTAAGAATGTAAAAATCTTTAATTTTAATTTTCCCATATCTTCCAAGTTTCTTGACAAGAAGAAAACATCTTGCAACACATCAATGTAACATTTTTTTTTTACTATGATCATAGGAACATCGTTCAACAATTACACATTTTGTCATTAATAAAATATAGTTTTGACTTTTGCACATCTGATTCAATAACTCTGGGGGACCAACTACACCTATAGAAATTGTGTGCTAACTTATGTTATACTGAAAAATGCCATGTTCAGATCTGTCTAAACATTTTTACAAGAACAATCTCTTTCCATTGGCAACATAATGTTGTCTTAAAAAAGTTACTATTTTATTTAGGAATGCATTTTCTGGTGATGCCGGGTGAGATGGTATCTACGAGTAAAGCTTCTTCCACACTGTGTGCAGGGGAAAAGTTTGGTGCCATTATGAAGCTGTTGGTGCGCTTTGAGACTTTGTGGCCTACTAAAGCTTTTTCCACAATCGGGGCACTGGCATGGCCGAACGCCTGAATGCTTCCGTTCATGCCTCCTCAAATCTCCTGATTGCCTGAAGCTTTCGCCGCACTGTGAACACAAGAAAGGTTTTTCACCTGTGTGTGTGCGGAGATGCACATTCAGTTGCCCAGAGTGGACAAAACTCTTTCCGCACTGCTGACACGTGTAAGGTTTTTCTCCTGTGTGGATGCGCTGGTGTTGCTTGAGGCTATTGAACCAGCTGAAGGCCTTTCCGCAATCTGTGCACAGATACAACTTCTCCCCCTGCTTGAAACAGCTGTGATTCTTGAAGCCCTTGATTGTGCTAAAGCTCTTGCAGCACTGGCTGCAGCTGTGAGGCTTTTCAACGGACAAAACGCCCCCTTCTTGGAAACTGAGATATTTGACGCTCATTTCTGGGTGGTGACGGCGGATGTGTTTGAAAAGGTAGCGCTCATCAGTGAAGGAGAAGGGGCAGTAGGTGCAGGGAAAGATGGTGGCGTTCACCAGGGCCGAGCTCTGGCGGTGGGGTTTGCGGCGTGAATGGCTCTGCTGGTGGCGCTTCAAGCCAGAAGACTGGGTGAAGGACTTGAGGCACAACGTGCAACAGTAGGGCTTCTCCTTGGAGTGGACTGTGCGCTCATGGCGACGAAGGTTACACATACGGTTGAAGTAAAGGTTGCAGTGGGAGCAACTGTAAGATCCGTCTCCCTGCTGAATGCACTCGTGGGCTTTGAGAATCTCAAAATCGCTGAAAGCTCTCAGGCATTCACCGCAGACATGCCGGGAAGCTGGCGCTTGCTGTGGTTCTCCCATCTCATTGTTATCTTGTCCAGCACATTGGTGAGTTTTCAATGTCTCCAAATCAGAGAACGTTTGTTCACACTCAGTGCAGTTGGGTAAACTCTTCGGCACTTCAACCTCCGCTTGCTTGTTTTTGGGTGGTCGGCCCCGTGGTCGGCCAACGGACGCTTTTTTAGGACAACTACTGCCTCTCAGAAGGCTCTTTGCAGACCTCTTCACTCGAGTAGGAGGTTCATAGGTTGGGTCATGCTTGTCAGAATTCATCTGTGCATCACCCTCAGTCCCTGCTGTGAGCGAGCCACTCTCAACTAATCTGAGATACTCTCCGTGGTGATGCCGTTTAAGATGTTGATTTAAGTTGAATTTGGCCACAAATGAAAAGGAGCACTTGGTGCAAGGATATATGCCAGAAGGTCTGTCAGCATCTTTCTCTTTCGTTTCCTCCCCCTGGTGGGTTTGTTGGTGTCTTTTCAGCCCTGTTGCCTGACTAAAACACTTCTTACAATGGCTGCAGCAATAAGGCTTCTCTTTAGAGTGAATCGTGCGCTGGTGTCTCTTCAGATGACAAGATCTCAAAAAGTTCCGGCCACACTCACCACATTTATTTATTTCATCCGAGATCTCGGTAGCACAATTCGCCTGGTCACTCAAACCATTACTGCAGGCTTCGGACAAATCGGCGCAGTCTGACTTTTCTGAGTCGTGAATCGGTTGTCCATTTAGGGTTGAAATTTCACCCTGACAGCTTTCTGTCATTGACTGCATATGGGTCGGAGGAGCTGCATCTGAGGCCAGAAGGCACTGGTCGATGTCTATAACTGTTGAGTGGTCTTCGGACTCAAGCGGATTTGTCTGCATGAAGTGCGCATACTGATCGGGATGCGAGCGCTTCACGTGAACATGCAGATAAAAAATAGTTGGGAAGGAGTATTGGCAATGAGGACATGGACAGACCTGAGTCGCCTGTTCTTCAGTTGTACCTGAAAACATAAATTATATTACTGGAAAGCCAAAAGCCATGACAGATATCAACAGCAAATGCATTACAGTCAGTGTATTAAGTCACTTTGTATTTCTACAAAGTACTTTGGAAGCCCTGAATACTTACAGGGGTTGGACAATGAAACTGAAACACCTGGTTTTACAACACAATAATTTGTTAGAATGGTGAGGGCCTCATTTTGCATCCAAATACAGCACCAATTAACAGATAGAAGTCCTTCACAGTGACCAGAGGGATTATGAGCCGTTCCTCTTCCAGAACAGTGTCCAGGTCACTATACGATGCTGGTGGACTCGCTCCTCCAAAACACCTCAATAATATTCAGATCTGGTGACTGTCAGACCATGGGAGATGTTCAACGTCACTTTCATCTTCATCAAACCCTTCTGTCACAAGTCTTGCTGTGTGTGTTGGTGCATGATCATGCTGATACACGGTTTGAGCATCAGGTGCTCATGATCCTCCAGAAGGGTTTGGTAGTCCTCGGCAGTGTCGTGTCCATCAAATACAATCAGGATTGTCATGATATTGGAGCTCAAACCATCACTGATCCACCCGTGCTTCACTCTGAAGATTGGCCGCCAGGCATATAGATGTGAAACCTCCAACATTGGCCAGTGTTTCAGTTTCATTGTCCAACCCCTGTATATTAGCTAAATAACTGAAATGTTTATGGGACAATTACAAAGGTTAACTTCAAATATGCTAAGGCAGTGTTTAGCTCAAACAGCAGAGCATGACCCTAGCAACGACAAGGATTGGATTCCCATGGAATCTATGAAATGATGAAATATATAGAACCAGAGCGCATTTAGGCCATGCCCACACTGGGGGGTGCAATCCAACGTTGTCCATAGAGTGCCGAAGTTATGACGTCACTTTGTAGGACAACTCGGAAGTTAGTGGCGCATGGTTTCCCTCGAACGAAAAGCTATGCATTTTCCCCAAAAAATAAGATCTGTGTTCAACAAAGAGTTGTGACCCTTACACATTTTGTCTATCAAGATAATCTTTACAAGTTATTTACTTACAAAATAAGGTTTAAAAAACACAAGCAGGTTATAACTGGTGTGTTTTATGTCATAGATCAAAACGTGAAAATATTTAGAGTCTTTGTTCACCAAAGACCTTATTTCAGGCGATTTAGCAAAAACCTATTAAAAAAACCCATAGACTTTAGGGCGAGGGAACCGGAAGTGATAAAATGCTAACTCACTTTCGCGTTTTTGGTCTACAGAGTGACGTCATAACTTCGGCACTCAATTGACTTTGCATTGCGAGAGGCTGCCTCCTTGTCATTTCTGACTTATAACAAAAAACAAAACAATGTCTAAAAGCTGCTATGTGACAAAGTGTAAAGCAAACAAGCTAAAAAAGAAAAAAATAATATTTTTATAATCTGTCGATCCCCCAAAAAACGAGCGTATTAAGGACACAAAAGTGGATACAGGAAATTTTGAAACAGAGCACAAGACGTCATATTACTTCTGAGAACTACGTCCACTGGAGGGGAACGTAATCAGTGACAGGATAGCTTATCTTACAGAAATATAATATACAAAACTGACATTTGGATATTTGATTTACCAGTGACAAAATGTTTACTGCACACACGTAGTGTATTTTTTAGTGCATACTGAGTCTCAGGATCCTTAAATGCTTGTTTTTTGGGGGTCGACAGCTTTAAAAAAAAACGTATTTCTGTATTTCTTGTTTGCTGTACACCTTTTTACATAGAAGCCTTTAGACATTGTTTTGTTTTTGTTATAAGTCAGAAATGACAAGGAGTCAATGGAGATGGCTTGATTGTCCCAAAAACATGCTTCCCTCTAAGGTGAATTAAATCAGGAATTCTTGAATATCACCTGGATTAACTCTGAATTTTAGTCAAGTTAATAATGGCGCATCTATTTAAATTACGCAGTTAGGATATGGTAAATTTCGTGAATTAATTATTTACAATTCATGCAACTGCAGTCTATCTTTAGGCTACTTGCCCTATCTCTCTAAAAATGTAAACGCCCCTACATCTAAAGACTATTATATTGTTTACGGAATGATTGGCACCGCTCCAGTGAAGCTAACTTTAGTAACAAAAAAAAAAAAAAAAAAAAACATGTGTCGGGAAGAGAAAGCTTATTTTAGGAGGAGTAATTTTCTCTCTCTCTATCTTTGTACTGTACTATTTGTGGCATCAACTAATTATGTTACTAAAAATGTCACAACAAATCAAAATTACTGTGCATGGCATTCTTTTAAATGTAAAGCAACTTTTGGTCAAAATCTAACATATTTTTTCCGTTGTATAATGAGCTCATTTATAAATAATATATATGAGCAATTTCACATTTGCGAAATTTCACAAATTAACTGCACATTTATGTAACATTCTTTAGAACATGCCACAGAATACAGTTACAGAATAAAGAAAAACAAAAAACAAAAAAAACTAACACTTCAGAATACTGTTCGGTCCGTCATTAGTGAATAATGACACAGAAACCAATGAGTAATGCACTATTAACATTTTAGTAACTACAATGAACTAACAATTTAGTAACTACAATGAAGCGCTCAGCTGAATTTGGTAGTTTACTATTAGCCTACAATTTTTTTATACCTCACTGAGAACTAAGAACTATACAGGTTCATAATTAACATAATTAATACATAATTTATAATATAAGATAACAGTAACCCACTAATGGTTCAAGTGTTACCAGATCCTTCTAAAGGAACTACTAATAATTTGGATCAGTATCCTAAAGTGAAAAGCTTGATAACTACCTAAATATTGATTGAAGTCATTGTAAGCTTCTGAGATTTTTTGTAAGCCTAAGGCTTTGTATAATAATGACTCGGGTGTTACTACATCCTTCTTAAGAAACTGCTAATGATTTGGATCAGTATCAGTAAAGTGAATATCATGGGAACAAATTAGCAATGACTAAAAGTGTTACCAAATCCATCGGAAGGAATTACCATTCAAAATCTTACAAAAATCTCAAAAGAAATGAAATGACTTCAGTAATTACCATCAAGCGTAGCGTCAGTTCTGGCAGGTCACGTTAGTCAAGCTGTATGCTAATTGTCAATTGTATTTGATGATAGTGGCCCTGACAGAACTAGAATGATCAGACTTGAGTCATAACCTGTAGGTTACTGTTATAACTTATATTATAAATGATGCATTATTCATTTTAATTATGAACCTGTAAATAGTAGTTCTTAGAAGTTCTCTGGGAGGTATGAAAAAAATAGTAGCTACTAATTAGCTAATAGTGAACTACCAAATTCAAATGAGCACTATTACTTACTAATTTGTTAATCAGAGTTTCTTGTTAGTTAATAGTACTTACTAGAATGTTAATAGAGCGTTACTCGTTTGTTCCTGTGTAGTTATTCATTAATGATGGAACAGTATTCTAAAGCGTTACCAAAAAACCTGCTAGTTGATTACATGGCACAATGTTAACACACAGGAGATGTAGTTACCTAGAGAAATGCATTTCTTATTCCAGATCTTATCCCAGAGGGTGCCAAGTCCTTGAGCATATTCCTCAGCATACCAAACTCTAAATTCCTGCCCAGGGCTAATAGGGCGACAACAACGGAACAGAATACGTCCATTTTGCTGGAATGCAACAAGATTCTGTTCCGTCTCACTCATTGAACACACCACAAACCTAAGGTGAAGACACAAGATTGAGACAACTACAAAATAAATGCATAAACTACAATACACAACAAAAGAGCATAGAAGTACTAACTTCATCCAGTTAGAGTGAGTATCCCTCTCTGTATCTATGTAACTATATTGATGTTTGCCTCTGTAAATCTGGAGAGAAAAAAGCATTACTATATGTTTAGCCCAATACATGTTGAAATTACAATTGTAACTCTAACCATTAACAAAACAATAAGGTTGACACTCACTACCCAAGAGTAGGCACTATCCAATGCCTTTTCCTCACAGGTCACTTCTCCATCCAAAGGTCCAAAAAGCATCCCCAATGGCACAGTCTGGCCTTGGTTGAAAACCCCAAGTCCTGCTTTAGAGATGCTAGATCGACCTATAACCAAGCCTTGTGGCAGTGTTAGCAGAGCTCTCTGAGGAATGCCCATAGCTGTAGGTGAGTCACATGTAAATAATGGTGGCCCATGAACCTCACATTGGTCTATGAAGTGCTGATGACACATCTCACAGTCTGCCAAAAACCAAGGAGTACAAGAAGGAGAGGGTATTGGAGATACACATGAAAGAGAAGGGAAAAAAATTATGTTTTGAAAAAAACATCTGCCAATTTAAGTTTGTAGTTTATTTACTTACAGAAATGTTGATCGTTAAACATGCTGCCCTCCTGTTCCGCCATCATCATAACAGAAGAATAATTAGTAACACAGCCTTGTGTCTCTAAATTCTGCTCATCACTTGGTGACAAATCTGTCAGGAACCAGATGAAAAACAGTATTTTATTATAATATGCATTTTACAGTGGTAACATTGCTGAGCAAAAAAGCCTTCTCCCTTGAAGAAAGGTTATGGTGTTTATATATATATATATATATATATATATATATATATACCATAAATCTCTTAAGAACAAGAACAAGAAAAACAACAGCAGAATAACTTACGAATGACTGACATGGCAAAACTGAACATGCATTCTAAGGCTGTCGTGACACAATCTAGTGACCTTGTTTTAACTGTTTAAACAGCCGTTTAATAATGGCATACATTCTTAAAACGCATTAATCAGTCATAAGTTTGAACCAGGCATGTAGATTAAGCTAAACTCTTCAGAGAAATTAAAAAGAGAGATAGATATTTATGTTTACATGTCGATTCGAGCAGTCTAAAGCTAGCATGGTAAATGTATAGTTAGCTAACTACACTTTAGTATACAACAACACCCACCCGGACTGTCCGACATTGTTTCACTAAACGCAGGAAGTTGCACTTTTTACTCCTCAACACCGTATGCACACTCGGACATTCAGGTTATGCAATCCTGTTGTCCGTTCAAGATAACTGGTTAGTTAGCGAACAAGAGACCTACGTACTCAGCGCTTCCCAAAACAGGAAGTTGTAATACGTCGGCATTTTTCATGTGACGCCATCGCGGTACGTGGTGCGTGTTGACCGTGGACTGCAACCCAGTCAACGAGAAATGCGCTCTATGGCCCTTATGCTTCCCCTGGCAAAACTGTTTTGTATTTATTTTAATGTTTTATATCTGTATATTGTAATGTATATTTTGTTACGTTTTTTGTGATGTGATTTGTACTTTGTTTTTGCAATAAAAAATGCGCTCTAATTCCTTCTTTTTGTATAATAATGTTCTCAATATGAAAAAATGAAATACCTCCGCTCAGTGCCGCTCAAAACGCTAGATCTGATTCGCTGGTGATTATCAGGTGATTATGTGTGTTGTAGTAGTATGGTCACTTCAAGGGCTTCATGGAAGCAGCACGTGAAAGTGTGTGAAACAGTGTAGTCGAGTCCCAAAATAGATAAATAGCCATGGATAAGATGCAGTAGGCATTTTTGAGGAAAAGTACCGTTGTTTCTCTATGATTTTTAGGTGCTGAATCCATTTCTGCCGTATAACAAGTTGTAAACATCACTGTTTTGGCATAAACAATAAAAACAAAATGGCTGCCAAAAACATGTATTTATTGCCGTTTAAACATTTTTAAAGCATTTATTATGTTTTAATGCATTTATTGTAGTTTAAACCTTAAACTTTAGAACTAAATTTAAACATGTAAACAATGAAAAAACAACATTAGCATGAAAGGGACGGTTTTTAATGTTTAAATGGCTGCTGGAACTCTGAAATTTCAACAAAATCAAGCAACAATTATTCCAAAAGTTATTCGTTCATACAAGTATCATTGGACTTTCTGCAAATTTGCAGGATGCAGTGCATGGATTAGGCTTGCAGCCGCATCGGGCTGTCCTGCACCCAGTGGTGCAGGCACAGGTGATTAACTCCTCACTCACAGGCATCTGGAACTGGGGGTAGTCACATAATAATAATAATAAATAATAATTCGTTACATTTATATAGCGCTTTTCTGGACACTCAAAGCGCTTCACATAGAGGGGGGGATCTCCTCAACCACCACCAATGTGCAGCATCCACCTGGATGATGCGACGGCAGCCATATTGCGCCAGAACGCTCACCACACACCAGCTTACTGGTGGAGAGGAGACAGTGATGAAGCCAATTGGTGTATATGGGGATGATTAGGAGGCCATGATGGACAGAGGCCACTGGGCAAATTTGGCCAGGATGCCGGGGTTACACCCCTACTCTTTCGAAAGACATCCTGGGATTTTTTATGACCACAGAGAGCCAGGACCTCGGTTTAACGTCTCATCCGAAGGACGGTGAAGATACATCATTTTTTTACATCACATGAGCTGAGGAGTAAGGGGATTCCCCTCTGTCTTCCATCCCATGGTTTCAGAGGGTGGCAGAACTGATTGCTGCAAGTGGGCCTGCCGCCAGATCAAAGCCTGGAAGTGAGAGCGCTTAATGCACTCAAAAAAATGATGTGTTGGCTTTACTTAACTTTTTTTATGTAAACAGGTTCCACCGGTTCCACATAACTGGGTTTCGTTAAACAAACATAATTTGTTCTTCTACAACATCATGGAAGTCATTTTAAGACACCCAATTAAACTCTGAGCTGAGCTGAGTGTTAAATGAACACTGAAGCAGTGTTAAAGTTATTTTTTTCTGATTGCTTAAGCACATTTTTTGTAATTATTGGCTAGTTTTGCAAAACTCTACACACAAATAAGAAAACCTTTCACCCAATTATCAAAACATTGTAGTTCTCTTGCAAAAGCAAACACAGCTAGATTAACTCTTCACACCTTCGTAAAAAAATTGTGTTTTTGTATCAAACAGTAAACACAAGCCATCATCTACTAAGCACACAATGTGCCAACTACACACTGATGGTATGAATACAAAACACATCTTTTGCTGTCTCTGTGTACAGATGTCAATTTGAGGTCATACTTTTGTCATAGTGTCATGTAAACATACAAGGATACAAACTTCAAGTATTGGTGTTTATTCACACTCATAAAAACCAAGACAAAGTCAGAACACAAAATAGTAATTTTACAAAAAAACAAACAAAAAAAAAAATCAGCCTACATCATGTCGTCTTTCTGGGTTCGGCCACAAAATACCGTCCACATCGCATGCAATATCCTCCAGTCCAAGGCACCGGGGAAAATATCTCCTTGAATGCCTTATCCAGGCCTGACATGATGCCTGGTAAATATCTCCACATGCCTCCTCCATTGCTTGTAAAAGGGCTACTTGTTGATGAGGATGACGGTCGTACACTTTCCCAGAACTCCTCAATGGGATTTACGTAAGAATGGAGAGTATGGAGGGAGGTTGAGTGCCATGAAGAATGTGTGGTGTGTAAACCAGTTGCGGACCAAAGCAGCCCTATGGAAACATTGTCCCATATGATGACATATCGGGTATGCTCTTCAACTCCACATCCTCTCCCTCTGCCTCCTTGTCCTCTTCTAGCTCCTTCCTCCAACCTCTTCACCTCCACGTCCTTTTCCTCCAACTTCTTCACCTCCACGTCCTCTCCCTCGGCCTCCTCTGATTCTCACTCTTCTCACTCTTACTGCATTTTAGAAGGCACTTGTGGCTGCTATGCCAAAGCGAAAAGACTGGAGAAGTGACACAGCTTGCCTCCGGTCTCTTCCAAACCCTGCCGCTTTTGCTTTCCTTGGCCGAACTCGATGGGCTTCAGAGCCTGACGATGAAGCTCCCCATCCAAAGTTTTCCCTATTTATGAATAAAAATATGGGCAAGAGACAGCCCACGAAAGGGTAGCGTGGCCGAGGGGTCTAAGGCGCTGGATTTAGGCTCCAGTCTCTTCGGAGGCGTGGGTTCAAATCCCACCGCTGCCAGCAGAGCTTTTAAAGAAGGCCAGATATCTTAAGTGTTCTTTGAAAAAAGAGACGTTAAAAGAAAAAGTTGCCGAAAATGGCCCACGGACTGCTTTCTCATAAGGTAGCGTGGCCGAGCGGTCTAAGGCGCTGGATTAAGGCTCCAGTCTCTTCGGAGGCGTGGGTTCGAATCCCACTGCTGCCAAGACAGCATTTTAGAAGGCACTTGTGGCTGCTATGCCAAAGCGAAAAGACTGGACAAGTGACACTGCTTGCCTCCGGTCTCTTCCAAACCCTGCCGCTTTTGCTTTCCTTGACCAAACTCGCAGGCTTCAGAGCCTGATTATGAGCAGCGATTTTTAAAGAGGGCCAGACACCTTAAGTGTTCTCCGAAAAGGCACAAAATGCAGCTGAAAATCTGCACCCTCTTGAATTAGGGACAGCAATATCTTACAATTATTATAATGTCACTTCAAAAATGATTTTAAACATAATAATAACAGATGTCTAGTTAGCCAATTTGACTCATTGAGAGTTTTTGGTGAACTGACAGCTACCTCATGATTTCGAGTTTAACTGTGACACGGCTGGCTCCCACTTTGGATAATGGCCCAAAGGCTTTGATTAGGTAATTCAGGTGTGTTTGATTAGAGATAGAATTGCAATCTGCAGGGAGGGGGGCCTCCAGGAGTGTAACTGCGTCCCCCCTGTATTTACAAGACCTCTCCACCTGTTGAGGAGCTCCTTCAAGGCACGTAGAATTTTGACGGATTTAACTTTGCAGAAGCGAGACGTTAAAAGAAAAAGTTGCCGAAAATGGCCCACGGAATGCTTTCACATACGGTAGCGTGGCCGAGTGGTCTAAGGCGCTGAATTAAGGCTCCAGTCTCTTCGGAGGGGTGGGTTTGAATCCCACCGCTGCCACGACAGCATTTTAGAAGGCACTTGCTATGCCAAAGCGAAAAGACGGGAGAAGTGACACTGCTTGCCTCCGGTCTCTTCCAAACCCTACCTCTTTTGCTTTCCTTGACCGAACTCGATGGGCTTCAGAGCCTGACGATGAAGCTCTCCACCCAAAGTTTTCCCTATTTCCCCACCGCTGCCAAGACAGCATTTTAGAAGGCACTTGTGGCTGCTATGCCAAAGCGAAAAGACTGGAGAAGTGACACCGGTCTCTTCCAAACCCTGCCGCTTTTGCTTTCCTTGGCGCTGGATTTAGGCTCCAGTCTCTTCGGAGGCGTGGGTTCAAATCCCACCGCTGCCAAGACAGCATTTTAGAAGGCATTTGTGGCTGCTATGCCAAAGCAAAAAGGCTGGAGAAGTGACACTGCTTGCTCACAGTCTCTTCCAAACCCTGCCGCTTTTGCTTTCCTTGACCAAACTCGCAGGCTTCAGAGCCTGATTATGAGCAGCGATTTTTAAAGAGGGCCAGACACCTTAAGTGTTCTTTGAAAAAAGAGACTTTTAAAGAAAAAGTTGCCGAAAATGGCCCACGGAATGCTTTCTCATAAGGTAGCGTGGCCGAGCGGTCTAAGGCGCTGGATTTAGGCTCCAGTCTCTTCGGAGGCGTGGGTTCGAATCCCACCGCTGCCAAGACAGCATTTTAGAAGGCACTTGTGGCTGCTATGCCAAAGCAAAAAGGCTGGAGAAGTGACACTGCTTGCTCACAGTCTCTTCCAAACCCTGCCGCTTTTGCTTTCCTTGACCAAACTCGCAGGCTTCAGAGCCTGATTATGAGCAGCGATTTTTAAAGAAGGCCAGACACCTTAAGTGTTCTTTGAAAAAAGAGACGTTTAAAGAAAAAGTTGCCGAAAATGGCCCACGGAATGTTTTCTCATAAGGTAGCGTGGCCGAGCGGTCTAAGGCGCTGGATTAAGGCTCCAGTCTCTTCGGAGGCGTGGGTTCGAATCCCACCGCTGCCAAGACAGCATTTTAGAAGGCACTTGTGGCTGCTATGTCAAAGCGAAAAGACTGGAGAAGTGACACCGGTCTCTTCCAAACCCTGCTGCTTTTGCTTTCCTTGGCCGAACTCGATGGGCTTCAGAGCCTGACGATGAAGCTCTCCACCCAAAGTTTTCTTTATTTATGAAAAAAATATGGGCAAGAGACCGCTCACGAAAGGGTAGCGTGGCCGAGGGGTCTAAGGCGCTGGATTTAGGCTCCAGTCTCTTCGGAGGCGTGGGTTCGAATCCCACCGCTGCCAAGACAGCATTTTAGAAGGCACTTGTGGCTGCTATGCCAAAGCAAAAAGGCTGGAGAAGTGACACTGCTTGCTCACAGTCTCTTCCAAACCCTGCCGCTTTTGCTTTCCTTGACCAAACTCGCAGGCTTCAGAGCCTGATTATGAGCAGCGATTTTTAAAGAAAGCCAGACACCTTAAGTGTTCTTTGAAAAAAGAGACGTTTAAAGAAAAAGTTGTCGAAAATGGCCCACGGAATGCTTTCTCATAAGGTAGCGTGGCCGAGCGGTCTAAGGCGCTGGATTAAGGCTCCAGTCTCTTCGGAGGCGTGGGTTCAAATCCCACCGCTGCCAAGACAGCATTTTAGAAGGCACTTGTGGCTGCTATGCCAAAGCGAAAAGACTGGAGAAGTGACACCGGTCTCTTCCAAACCCTGCCGCTTTTGCTTTCCTTGGCCGAACTCGATGGGCTTCAGAGCCTGACGATGAAGCTCTCCACCCAAAGTTTTCATTATTTATGAATAAAAATATGGGCAAGAGACAGCTCACGAAAGGGTAGCGTGGCCGAGGGGTCTAAGGCGCTGGATTTAGGCTCCAGTCTCTTCGGAGGCGTGGGTTCGAATCCCACCGCTGCCAAGACAGCATTTTAGAAGGCACTTGTGGCTGCTATGCCAAAGCAAAAAGGCTGGAGAAGTGACACTGCTTGCTCACAGTCTCTTCCAAACCCTGCCGCTTTTGCTTTCCTTGACCAAACTCGCAGGCTTCAGAGCCTGATTATGAGCAGCGATTTTTAAAGAGGGCCAGACACCTTAAGTGTTCTTTGAAAAAAGAGACGTTTAAAGAAAAAGTTGCCGAAAATGGCCCACAGAATGCTTTCTCATAAGGTAGCGTGGCCGAGCGGTCTAAGGCGCTGGATTAAGGCTCCAGTCTCTTCGGAGGCGTGCGTTCGAATCCCACCGCTGCCAAGACAGCATTTTAGAAGGCACTTGTGGCTGCTATGCCAAAGCGAAAAGACTGGAGAAGTGACACCGGTCTCTTCCAAACCCTGCCGCTTTTGCTTTCCTTGGCCGAACTCGATGGGCTTCAGAGCCTGACGATGAAGCTCTCCACCCAAAGTTTTCATTATTTATGTATAAAAATATGGGCAAGAGACAGCTCACGAAAGGGTAGCGTGGCCGAGGGGTCTAAGGCGCTGGATTTAGGCTCCAGTCTCTTCGGAGGCGTGGGTTCGAATCCCACCGCTGCCAAGACAGCATTTTAGAAGGCACTTGTGGCTGCTATGCCAAAGCAAAAAGGCTGGAGAAGTGACACTGGTTGCTCACAGTCTCTTCCAAACCCTGCCGCTTTTGCTTTCCTTGACCAAACTCGCAGGCTTCAGAGCCTGATTATGAGCAGCGATTTTTAAAGAAGGCCAGACACCTTAAGTGTTCTTTGAAAAAAGAGACGTTTAAAGAAAAAGTTGCCGAAAATGGCCCACGGAATGCTTTCTCATAAGGTAGCGTGGCCGAGCGGTCTAAGGCGCTGGATTTAGGCTCCAGTCTCTTCGGAGGCGTGGGTTCGAATCCCACCGCTGCCAAGACAGCATTTTAGAAGGTACTTGTGGCTGCTATGCCAAAGCAAAAAGGCTGGAGAAGTGACACTGCTTGCTCACAGTCTCTTCCAAACCCTGCCGCTTTTGCTTTCCTTGACCAAACTCGCAGGCTTCAGAGCCTGGTTATGAGCAGCGATTTTTAAAGAAGGCCAGACACCTTAAGTGTTCTTTGAAAAAAGAGACGTTTAAAGAAAAAGTTGTCGAAAATGGCCCACGGAATGCTTTCTCATAAGGTAGCGTGGCCGAGCGGTCTAAGGCGTTGGATTAAGGCTCCAGTCTCTTCGGAGGCGTGGGTTCAAATCCCACCGCTGCCAAGACAGCATTTTAGAAGGCACTTGTGGCTGCTATGCCAAAGCGAAAAGACTGGAGAAGTGACACCGGTCTCTTCCAAACCCTGCCGCTTTTGCTTTCCTTGGCCGAACTCGATGGGCTTCAGAGCCTGACGATGAAGCTCTCCACCCAAAGTTTTCATTATTTATGAATAAAAATATGGGCAAGAGACAGCTCACGAAAGGGTAGCGTGGCCGAGGGGTCTAAGGCGCTGGATTTAGGCTCCAGTCTCTTCGGAGGCGTGGGTTCGAATCCCACCGCTGCCAAGACAGCATTTTAGAAGGCACTTGTGGCTGCTATGCCAAAGCAAAAAGGCTGGAGAAGTGACACTGCTTGCTCACAGTCTCTTCCAAACCCTGCCGCTTTTGCTTTCCTTGACCAAACTCGCAGGCTTCAGAGCCTGATTATGAGCAGCGATTTTTAAAGAGGGCCAGACACCTTAAGTGTTCTTTGAAAAAAGAGACGTTTAAAGAAAAAGTTGCCGAAAATGGCCCACAGAATGCTTTCTCATAAGGTAGCGTGGCCGAGCGGTCTAAGGCGCTGGATTAAGGCTCCAGTCTCTTCGGAGGCGTGCGTTCGAATCCCACCGCTGCCAAGACAGCATTTTAGAAGGCACTTGTGGCTGCTATGCCAAAGCGAAAAGACTGGAGAAGTGACACTGCTTGCTCACAGTCTCTTCCAAACCCTGCCGCTTTTGCTTTCCTTGACCAAACTCGCAGGCTTCAGAGCCTGATTATGAGCAGCGATTTTTAAAGAGGGCCAGACACCTTAAGTGTTCTTTGAAAAAAGAGACGATTAAAGAAAAAGTAGCCGAAAATGACCCACGGACAGTGGTGGTAAGTAACGAAGTAAAAATACTTCGTTACTCTACTTAAGTATTTTTTTGGAGGATCTGTACTTTACTTGAGTATGTTTTATTTGCATCTACTTTTACTCTTACTCCACTACAATATTAAAGGCAAAATGTACTTTTTACTCCGATACATTTCCCCGTGCCCGCTCCGAGTATTTGTTACACTTGGCTTTTCAAACCAATGAAAAACATGGTTTTCTTTTGGGAAAAAAAAAAAAAAATCGCACCCGCTCTTTGCCAGCATGCTCGCTCACACATAGCAGTTCAGTTCGTCAGTTCAGTGGAAGATGATGACCGCAGAAGCTAGCGGCTCTCGCTGTTAGCAGAAATGATCCCGAGATTCCCGACAGAGATCACCCAGGGCCATATCTCAAGGCTATGTTTGAATTCACTGAAGTCAAGGGAGATCCGTATCGGCTGAAATGGCTTTGCCTGCCACGGCCGTGTTACAGTGCATTCTGTACAACGCGACGTAGCCTACACATGACACGTGAATGAATAGGTACGGGACACTGCAATTCACCAAAGTTAATTATTTGCATAAGCCTTGCCGGTTAAACATTTAATTCACTTGATGATGCGTTGTTCTAACGTGCGATTTCCTGAGCGCTTACCCCCGACGCTCGCAGGCACCAGAAGCCTGTCAAACAGTGCCTGAATACTGGACTAAGTTATCTTTCGAGTTATGCTAATGCTGTTAAATACACACAATGTTTACATAAACAGAATTGGCTATGTCGAAAGCAAACATTTGAGAGAAAATCTGGTGTAATATGCGTCTACATTAAACGCGTCGCGTGCTGGTCTAAAAGCGACAGTGGTAAATAGTACTGCATCTTGTACTTAAAGGGATAGTTCACAAAAAAAAAAAAAAAACATAAATTTGTCATTATTTACTCACTCTAATGTTGTTCCAAACCTGTATTAATTTCTTTCTTGTGCTAAAAACAAAAGAAGATTTTTTTTTGAATGTGGGTAACCAAACAGTTGTTGGTCCCCATTAACGTCCAGGAGAGAGAAAAAAACTAAACACCGGGGACCAGCAAATGTTCGGTTACCCACATTATTCAAAATAACTTTTATTTTCAACAGAAGAAAGAAACTTATTTGGGTTTAAAGCATCTTGAGAGAGTAAATTAAGACAATTTTCATTTTTGAGGGAAATACCTTTAGTGTTAATAAAAAATAAAATAAAAAACACAAGGAGAAAATCACTCACTGACTGAGAACTTTAATAGTAGCTTTAATAAAAATCAATAATTTTTACAGTGAAGTCTATGTAGTGTTTTAATTTCATATTTGTTCATTTAATTACTTCAATGCTACTGATAAATACACCGTATCTGAAAAAATAAAGCACTGTTTATTTAATTTGAATATTAATTTGTTTAATGTTTATCTTGTCTTATTTTTTTTAATAACAAAGAAAATAATGACAAAGATTTTTATCTTCGCCACTGGCCTAAATGTATGCCTTTCTTTTTTTTCTTTTGTTACCTAGGTCTTTGTTTTTAACATAGGGACATTAGTTTGGCTGTAATGAACAGCCACTTGCAAAATAGTTAAACCAACTTGAAAAAGAATCGTGATAAAAAATCGTGACCGTGATTTTCCTAAAAAATCGTGATATATTTTTGCCATATCGCCCACCCCTGAAATGAAGTAGGCCTATAGCATTATTTACAAACCAGTTATTTAAGAGTTCTCAGTCATTCATCACTTAGAAAGTGTAAGTAAATGTAGTAAATACAGGTAGTTATAAAGCAATTAGTAGTGGTCAGTTAACTATTTGTGAGCTCATCTAAAGTGAGTATGCATGCCTTGTAAAGTATTTATAAAGGAGATTTAAAGGAGATCAATCTTCTAAACAGTAAAATGTAACAGTGAACATAGAAATATTTAACAGCCTTTAAATCTCCTGTTATTGTCTCTTATGATTGCAAATCTAACAAATTCTTAATTGCGGTATGTAATCTCATCATCTGTTCAATTAAATAATTGCATATCACCCCCAAAATAATTGATCTGCATAATTATTTATATTTACAGTTTATTTGAATATTTACTTTTACTTTCGGTACTTAAGTACTTTTTAAATCGGATACTTTTGTACTTTTACTCAAGTGATGTTTGAATGGAGGACTTTCTACTTTTACTGGAGTAATATTTTATTTAGGTATATATACTTTTACTCGAGTACAACTTTTGAGTACTTTTACCACCCCTGCCCACAGAATGCTTTCTCATAAGGTAGCGTGGCCGAGCGGTCTAAGGCGCTGGATTAAGGCTCCAGTCTCTTCGGAGGCGTGGGTTCAAATCCCACCGCTGCCAAGACAGCATTTTAGAAGGCACTTGTGGCTGCTATGCCAAAGCAAAAAGGCTGGAGAAGTGACACTGCTTGCTCACAGTCTCTTCCAAACCCTGCCGCTTTTAATTTCCTTGACCAAACTCGCAGGCTTCAGAGCCTGATTATGAGCAGCGATTTTTAAAGAGGGCCAGACACCTTAAGTGTTCTTTGAAAAAAGAGACGTTTAAAGAAAAAGTTGACGAAAATGGCCCACGGAATGCTTTCTCATAAGGTAGCGTGGCCGAGCGGTCTAAGGCGCTGGATTAAGGCTCCAGTCTCTTCGGAGGCGTGGGTTCGAATCCCACCGCTGCTAAGACAGCATTTTAGAAGGCACTTTTGGCTGCTATGCCAAAGCGAAAAGACTGGAGAAGTGACACCAGTCTCTTCCAAACCTTGCCGCTTTTGCTTTCCTTGGCCGAACTCGATGGGCTTCAGAGCCTGACGATGAAGCTCTCCACCCAAAGTTTTCATTATTTATGAATAAAAATATGGGCAAGAGACAGCTCACGAAAGGGTAGCGTGGCCGAGGGGTCTAAGGCGCTGGATTTAGGCTCCAGCCTCTTAGGAGGCGTGGGTTCGAATCCCACCGCTGCCAAGACAGCATTTTAGAAGGCACTTGTGGCTGCTATGCCAAAGCAAAAAGGCTGGAGAAGTGACACTGCTTGCTCACAGTCTCTTCCAAACCCTGCCGCTTTTGCTTTCCTTGACCAAACTCGCAGGCTTCAGAGCCTGATTATGAGCAGCGATTTTTAAAGAGGGCCAGACACCTTAAGTGTTCTTTGAAAAAAGAGACGTTTAAAGAAAAAGTTTCCGAAAATGGCCCACGGAATGCTTTCTCATAAGGTAGCGTGGCCGAGCGGTCTAAGGCGCTGGATTAAGGCTCCAGTCTCTTCGGAGGCGTGGGTTCAAATCCCACCGCTGCCAAGACAGCATTTTAGAAGGCACTTGTGGCTGCTATGCCAAAGCAAAAAGGCTGGAGAAGTGACACTGCTTGCTCACAGTCTCTTCCAAACCCTGCCGCTTTTAATTTCCTTGACCAAACTCGCAGGCTTCAGAGCCTGATTATGAGCAGCGATTTTTAAAGAGGGCCAGACACCTTAAGTGTTCTTTGAAAAAAGAGACGTTTAAAGAAAAAGTTGCCGAAAATGGCCCACGGAATGCTTTCTCATAAGGTAGCGTGGCCGAGCGGTCTAAGGCGCTGGATTAAGGCTCCAGTCTCTTCGGAGGCGTGGGTTCGAATCCCACCGCTGCCAAGACAGCATTTTAGAAGGCACTTTTGGCTGCTATGCCAAAGCGAAAAGACTGGAGAAGTGACACCAGTCTCTTCCAAACCTTGCCGCTTTTGCTTTCCTTGGCCGAACTCGATGGGCTTCAGAGCCTGACGATGAAGCTC